CTCGATTTTATTTTATTTGGGTCCCATAAATGTAAAATTCAAATCAGGACTCTTAAGTCATCTGATTTAGCAGAAATACGGAGGAAGTAATCAGACAAACTAGGAAACGGTTGAGGGACAGAACCCACAACGAGCCTCCTTTCTAAGGGCACCCCACCATACGCTAAGCTGGTGTTGGTGCAAGTCTGTTTTTTTTTAAATCTGCTGACTGCTTCTGCCCAGTCCCTGAGCACTGGTTCCCCAGCTTCTCAGCTTCAGTCCAGTGGCCCATCCAGTCGGGGGTTTAGACCCACGTTGATATCAATGAACAATTCTTTTTGGATCCATATTTTCACCTTCGAGAATAATATTTCTCTTCATATTAATTTTTATTCTGTATTTTCAACACTCATTTAGACTGAGTCCTCCATGCATCACTGGTGTCCATGCCCAGTGTGAGACTTGTCCGCCTTGGACTCATCTGTCAGCATCAGGAGATGTTCCTAGGGAATGATTTTAGTGGAGTGACGCACAAGAGGGGTGTGTTAGGAGCTTTTCATCCATATTGTTAACCTGAAACAAGTAAACTGCCAGATGTTTCTCCAGCAAAGATGGGTTTATTCGAGATCAGAAGAGAAGTGCATTTCTGGGTGAACCACAGGCAAGTTCCTGCGCAGCAAGAGGAGGAGACTGCTTTTATGAAAGGAAAAGGACGTGGGGAGGGTGGCAGTAAACAGAGAGTCCCTGGCTTTTGGTTGGTGAGTCCTTGCCAGGGAAGAAGAGGAGTCTGTCTTCCCGTTGGGCTCTGCTGTCATCACAGGGCGCGAGAGCGCCCCCTTCTGGTCTCCTGACTCTTTATTGAGGTTACTGGCTATTGATTTTTTTACAGTGTAAATGCCTTTTTACTGTATTCACCAGTGGATAATTTGACCAACACTTTTACCCACTAACACCATAGAAACAGCTCTGTTCTTACTAGATTTGTGATCTTATAAAGGAAAGCCCTGAAAGCAGCCTCACTTTTATTCTTCCTGCCCAACATTTATATGCTTTTCCCCCCTTTTCCTTAAATTCTCATGTTTTATTGACTGTGACCAGATATTCGTGTGAAATGTTTGCATTGATCACGTGCTCTGTTTTATGTGCAAACTCAAGTTTGGTGGAGTTTGGGGGGTTTGTTTCTTTCAGCCCTGGAAAGCTTATTGTTTTCTGATTACAGCCTCCCCCAGAGAATGGACAGCACCCCAGGGGGTGTGCTCCCTCCCAAGGTCAGCAATGCCTAAGGAAGGCAGTTGTGGCAAGGGGAGGAGGAGGGTGGAAGCCCAGAAAAGAGATCTTGTGGCCATCCATGAAGTTCCTTCCAGAATTGACTCCTGTCCTTATTTCTGCAGAGCTGGTACCCTACTCAGCAGTAGCTAGGACTGGCATCAGCATGTGACGCAATGTTACACGAGAGGATGTGCTCGGATGCTCAGTGGATGCCAGCCCATGGCGTCCTGCACAGGGACCCCTGATGCAAGCAGCATCTGGGGAGGGACGGTGCAGGTAGAATAAGCCACAAGGCTCTGCCCATCAGCTGTCACCTCAGGCAGCTCCACTCCTTGCTGTGGAGCCATGGGGAACATGCACAGGAGATGTGTCATGTAGGAGACGTGTCAGTTCTTTCAGAAGAAGAAAAGTTTCTGCACAGGAGATGTAACAGTCAAAAGCCAGCAGGACAAATCTTCTTCCCTGGGCTAAGGAAAGAATTGAGTCTTTTGGAAAAAAAAAAATCCCAGAGTCTCATACCAGGCAAAATTGATAGGCTTAGAGGTACCTAGTGAAATTATATAAGGATAAGAATAAACCTAAAGCCGTATAAGCAACATAGCAGGAAAAAAAGTAAATTACAGAAGAGCAGAAATCAGGCTGGCATCAAACTTCTCCTAGACTGTAAGCTAAAAGATGTAGCAAAATTTGCAGTTTTTTGAGAGAAAAGATTATAATCCGGGGATTGTCTCCTCAGCCAATTCAGCTGTGAGTGCAGCAGAAAGACACACTCAGGAATCCAAAGAGGAGGAAGGAAACTGCAGCCACACAACCTTCAGCAGTTCAAGAAAGAGGGTGGGAAGGGGGAGCTGAATTTAAATAATAAATGGATTTCATCTCGGTGCATAAAGATTTAAAGTGACTTACTAAGATTACTGAATACAAAGGAATGGAGAAAGACATGAACAGAGCATAAAATGAGAGACACTGCTGACATGGGGGACTCATCCGACACATGGAAAGTCTGCTTGTGGGGTGTTGCTAGAAACTGTACCCTAATTGCTAGGGGCCAAAGCAAGGAGACCAACATGGCCCACTGCAAGCTTCACAGCATCCATAAAGCAAGATCAAACCCACGTGCGCTGACCCAGAGCCCAGTGTACCAAGAGCTCCTGCAGGTCGGGGTAGGGGTGGGGAGGAGGGTGAGACCATAAAGACATAGGCAATCTTTCTAGTGACAGAATAGGTTCATCACTTGGTTGTGGTGATGATTACACAAATCTACGATTGCTAAACTTGCATGAAACTACACACACACAAATAAATAAAATCAGAATAAGAGTCTGTGGATTATACCAGCGTCACTTTCCTGGTTTCGATATTATACTATGGTTCCAGGTGATGCCTCCTCTGGGGGAACCCAGTGCATGATGTTTGAACAGCTACCAAAACTAGACTTGCATTTCTGCCAGTGCCTGGGCCTCAGAGCCCAGGGCTCATCGCCTAACTGCACAAATTAATGCTGCTATGTCCAATGATGAGACAAGCTTGGTTATAAATACACAATTTTCAGAATGACACGCACTTAAAGCTCATTAAGCAAAATACAAAAATATTGAATTTATGAACAATGCAATTTGTCCTGATAGCACATGAAACATACATCTTCATCAGGCTGGGAACACATAACAGCTTTGCCTTCTCTAAGGCCTGTTAAGGGCCAAGCACTGGGCTACACTCTTTCAATCTCTTTCAGTCCTCTCTTGAGTTACATGAGTTATTATTTTCCCACTTAAACAGATGAATAAACCAAGGCACAGTGAAGTTCGGTAACTTCCCCAAAGTCACACAGCTGATAAGGAGAGGATCCAGAATTCAAACCTGTGCAGGCTGGTCTGAGAGTTCAACCTATAAAATGTAAGCTACTTTGTGCTAATTTAATACCTCTTTGTGAAGGAATATATTGTTATTTTTACTATATTAACACACTATCAAAATACAAGTAATTAGAAACCTTGTTTGTTTGCTGGGGAGAGGCTGATCTGGTATTATTTTATTATTGATGCTCATGTAAGATTTCAAATAGTCTAGAAGTCACCCATTAACAGCAGAATATTCTTGCATTTTGTGAGCCCAAAACAAAGACAAAACAGAAATCAACCTATGTTATTGTCCTAACCCAAGAATGGCATTTGGCATGTTTTTAGAATTTCATTTCAGCCTGCCTATTACTAAAGTGTCATTTTCGAGTTCTAAATCTCTGTATGGTTTAAAAAAAAAGAATAAATAAGAAGTTCTCCTGATTAAGACTGAATGAGAGGGGAACTAAATTGTTCATGCTCTGATTAGAATGTTCCAAAAGGCCTCGTACCAAACCCCAGTCAGCTCCACTCCTTGCTCCATCAATTATTCATTGTAATGATGAGTGTGACACTTACAGAGGCTCCAAATATAAATGACACCATCCAGAGAAATCTTCTCAATCCTCATGTTGGCAAAAGTGCTACAGCGTTGTATGCCAGAGTGACAGGGACCTGCAAGGGTTAATGTGCACCTTTGCCTCCACGTCTCACTCACCACTGGACAAGAACTGAGGTCTGTTTTGTCATAGGAATGACCCTGCTCTTCTAATTGCCTCTGTCAGCCACATTTTTGAGATCTGAATAGATGGGTAAAAACTGGGAAAATGGCAAAAGCCAACGAGGCTCAATTCCATCAGTCCCACGTAACCTGCACCAAAGAGCAGAGATGAGAGACAGCAGGTAGAATCTGAGCCTCAGAGGATGTGCAGAGATATTGTCTGAAAGGGGAAAGGCAGGGGGTCCCTATGGTGCCTGGAACGCTGCTGTCTTCACAGGTGCCAAGAATCACATCAATTCTTAGGCAAGACCAAAAAAAGTAATAATGGATGATAACAAATTTTGCAGAATTATAAATCCAAAGTCATAACCTTGGAAGGAAGTTCTTTACACTCCGAGGCACTGATGAGCTAAAACTCCGCTCACAATAAGCCGATGTGTACGAGCACGTATAGAATAGACTGAAGGAATAGCCCTTCTCTCACTTGCAGCTCATGAATCTTCACGTTGAGAAAGTCAGTGTTAGCGATAATGGCTTCAAAATTAAATAGAAATAAAACCTTTAATTATTCATCCAACCCCTCAGTATTTCTCTCTTGCTTCTAAGTGACACAAGCAACGAGCATGTTTCAGAAGCTGAAAAAAACTACAGGAACCACAGTATGTAAAATTAAGTCAAATATACCTCTTTCTTTTTTATTATCAAAGAATAGTGACCATTTGAATGAATTCTTTCTTGATGCTAATTTATGTTTCAACATAGTCTTTACTTAAGAACAACCTGTGTTATTATGTTCCCAGTGTGTTTGTGAACACAGGATTGGTTCAGACAGTCAGTTGCAGACTGCAAGATGTCAATGACTTTTTTACCAAAGCTTATTTGAGGAAATTTCTGACTCTATCAATCAGGAAAAGAAAAAAAAAACTACAAATATATTTTAAATCATTCAAAAATCTAGCACAGATTTCTATATTTCTCAATAAATCCAAATAAGTACTAAATATACCAGTGAACAAGCATTTTGCTTATCCACACAGATCTTTGAGAAATTTTAAATGTTGTTTTCCTTTAGTTTCTCATCTTCATAGAAAAACTAACCGATACCCTTCTCAGAGATTGAACTCGCATCGATTCTGCAAGTTATACAATTGCAACTTTTATGGGAGGAAGAAAAGCAAAGGCAGACAACGTACCAGTGGAGGTTTATCAGGCAGGATTTGCTTCCACTCCAAGGATCCTGCTCCTCTGATCTGCCTGCAGGGAGAAGAGGTTTTTATAACCTGAGCTCTTAGCCCCGCCTTCCACCCTGAGGTTCCTTTAAGAGGACGAACAAAAAAACTCAAGCCACTGAAAGAAGACACTAAAACCAAGGCATACAGTAGCAATTTAGCAATTGAATTTGAGTAACGACTGCATATTCATAGAACAGAGTATTTTTAAATGCTCTTAAAGTAAGAATGAAATCCCCACTCTTCACTTGCTGATAATATCATAGTATTAAACCTACTAAAGTTAATTTCCACAATTTGTGGCACATTTTAGAAACCACAAATGAACTAGGAAATGCTCATTAGGGAAAGTCATGACAAGATTAATTAAGATTAAAAGCTTTTAATTAAGATAAGAAAAAATTCTTTAATAGATGTTTAACAAACATTGTTTTTTGGCGGATTTTGTTAACCTTCTTCACACCAACTTACATTCAGCATTGGGCTAGCTAGGCAGGGAATGGGGGCGGGTGGCTGAAAATTCAGCAAGGCTGGCTTTATTAATACACAGTTATTTCCCTGCCTCCTTTAAGCTATACTTGGTGAAAGCTCCAGTAGGAGAGATAAAGTAATCATTGTTAGTGGGTAATTTTCAGTCATTTTATTTAAATCATCAACCACAAACATCATTTAAATAGTTTTGTTATGGTTAATGCTCCTTAAGTGTTGGCTGTTATTTCTATCTCGTATTCATATATGAAGTATATGCTTCAGGCAAGGAGAAATAAGATAGTATAATTTAAAATTTGATTATACAGTCAAGCAAATGCAAAGAGGCTAGAGGTTAAACACAATGAGAGTCAAGGGGTAGTTTTGCAAAGGCAGAGGGATTTGATCAAGGTCCAAAGGGAGAGATGAGATAGAATAAATTATAGTGGTAACTCCTAAAAAGAGCATATTCAATTCAGGAGAAAACCCCTTTGACAAAGAAAGGCTTTGAGGAAAACCGAAGGTAGGGTCACAAACTCAAATACTCCAAGAGTCAGACAGGTAGTGAAAATGAATGGAGTGACCAAGTGTGAGGTAGTCGGGAAGGGTAAGGAAAATTGGAAACATCAAGGGCCACATATGAATGAGGGCTCATGTGAGAAGAGATCTAGCCAGAAACAGAGAGAATCAGAGAAGTCTCAAAATCACCCTTAATGTGAATATTAGGAGTAAAAACTCCTGTACCCTTCCCCCTACAATTTTCTTCCTGCCCCCCGCCACCCCCTGTGAACATGAGCACACAGACGAGGCCATGGGTCCAGTCCTCTCTGTCCTTAGCCTGCTGTCTACACAATGTCCATCCTACTGTTTTCAGAGATACAAAGGAATTTGAAAACAGAACCTAAAATTTAGTTTGAAAGCCAAAATATGAACTAAAAAAGACCAGAAAGCTAGAAAATCATAGAGACTAAAGTAGAAAATGCATACTGGTCTCGAGGAATACTCCTTGTGGATGGCGACGGAGCAGTGACCCCAGGCTGGCAGAGGGAAAGATGAGAGCAGAAGGGAGCTGAGCAGAGAGGTGAGGATGAGAGAGACAGGAGAAGGGTGGTGCTCACATCAGGGGGGCCACTGCAGAGTCATTACACGTGCTGGCTCAGAGCGGTGTTTACACTGAAAGAACAAAATGCATGTTCCCCAGTCACTGGGATGGGTTATGAACAGGATGTACAGTTTCATCTTGGGTTTAAAATATACCTAGAGAGGAAGGACCCAAGAAGAAGGAGGCTGGCTTGAGGCTGGAAGAAGAGGGACCGTGTTGGGAAGAATCAGGCAGGACCGGAGGGACGTGTGGTCCTGAAGAATAAAGGAATGACAGGGCTTTGAGTACCAGGCTGGGAAACTCAGATTTGGCCCAGTGGGTCCCAGACAGTCATGGTGAGAGTCACATGCATCAGGAGCTAGAAGGGAGGGGACTGGGAGAGAGGACTGTCTCCAGGCAGTCGCAGCCCTGTGCAAGCCGGGCTCTCTGAGCGTCAAGAGGACAGGATACTGGGCCTACTCTACACTTCCCGTCACCACAGCTCAGCCTCCCTGCCTCCCCCAGAACGCTGGGTTCAGCCTCCGTTTGGAAGTGAGTGCCCCTCCAATCCACGTGTTAAGGTCCTGACTCCCGCAACCTCAGGATGTGACTGTATTTGGATAGAGGATCTCTATAGAGTGAATCAAGTTAAAATGAGGTCATTCGGGTGGGCTCCAATCTCACATGACCGGTGTCCGTTTAGAAGAGGAGGTTAGGACACAGACACACACAGAGGGAAAACCCTGCAAAGATGCAAGGAGAAGATGAGCCAAGGAAGATGGCCTCAGAGGAAACCAAGCCTGAAGACTTTGTCTCGGGCTTCCAGCCTTCAGGGCCATGCGGACACAGACTTCTGCTGTTGAAGCCGCTCAGTCTGTGGCATTTTGTTAAGGTTTTGGTAGTCCCAGCAGACTCCTACAGGTCGGGTGTTGAAGGAATTGTCAACCTTTCCCTGGGGACAGCCAGGACCACCACAGATGCCCAGGGGAAGAGCAGAGAATTCCCAGGGGAGCCTTTGGCAACTCCCCCCACCCGCAGGTCTCCATCTTCAGCAACTCACAGTGAGCGTGTCCTTCTGAGGAGAGGCCAAATGGGGTTTTACTGTAACTGTTGGAAATACCGGGAGCCAAGTAACCCTGTCCTAGTCTCAAACTGAGATTAACTAAGCCAGTGGGAACTTTTCTCATTCATTTTCTGAGTATTAAACCATCAAGTTCTCTGTTCTATCCCAATTTTCATTGTAATTCCAAACTTGTATCCACAACAAATAAGGTATCACCTGGCCTAAACAAGTTCTTTTCTAGTGTTTTCAGGAAGTCCTGAAAGTTTTAAGTGAATGGATCCTTGCTGTAAATAAATGCTGCCATGCAATGGGAGGGATAGAGACAAAGATGGAGGTGGAGGTGGAGATAGAGGTGGAGATGGAGATGGAAGTGGACGGGAGGCAGAGTTGGAGGTGGAGATGGAGATGGAGGTGAAGGTGGAAGTGGAGGTGGAGGCAGAGATGAGATGGAGGTGGAGGCGGGGATAGAGGTGGAGGTGGAGATGGAGGTGGAAGTGGAGATGGAGGCGGAGATGAGATGGAGGCAGAGGTGTATAGGTAGAGCTATAGTTGTACAGGTGTAGATATCAACGTACAGGATAGATAAGTATGGATGTGTAGGTATAAGTATATAACCTATAGATTTGCCAGTTTACCCAAGACTTAACAAAATTCCCAAATTCTTTTACTGTGGCATTAACATGATTTTTTTTTAAGAATGTTTAAATGCTAAGTCGTTGCATTATTTTTCAGTGCCAGAAGGTGGCTTCTCTGAGCAAATTCAGTGCTGCAGTAGGGACGTTTTCACCCATCCTTATCGCCAAAGCAGGTTTCACAGGTGAATAATGATGTTGGCCCGGCATGTCCCTCCAGAGCCCTCTTTGCCCCTAGACAATAAGCAGAGTCCATCAGCTCGATGTATAGACCAGGTTCTCAACTTCGCTTCCTTATTTTCTGTGCTGTGAGAAAACATGTCAAAATTGCATGGACTGGAAGCAGACAGTAGTGGTGACTGTGCAACGGCGTGGCTGTACTTAATGAGTGCCTCTGAACTGGATTCTTCAGATGGGGAACATGGCAGATTTTACATGATGTATATGTTGCCACAATGGAAAATAATTTTTAAAAATACTGAATGAAACTCACTCTGGGCCTTTGCTAACGGCTCAATCCCTTGAGTCCCAGCTCCTCAGTCATATGGGATCGTAAAGCTTGTGTCTCAGGCTGTGTCAGGGTTTGGGGGGAGTCCGAAAAAGGCAGCCACAATGGATGCACCAGCCACGTCAGCATCCTTCCTCCCTCTGACTTCCTTGGTCCCCCACAACTCAGCGCTCACATGTCTGGGATCCCACTCTGCAGACGGGGGCAGGGAGAGGGCGTGTGTTTTTTCTGTTGCGCAGCTGCCCCATCCCCAAAAGAAGACGAACCCCGACGTGCTCACTGCCGGGTTTCTCTCCATGACCCACGAGCACCTGCATCAGCCTTTCAGGGGCACAGGTAGAAACTGATGCTCCAGGCTCCACCCTGGGCCTATTGGACCAGGAATCTGATGACTATCAAGGTCGGCTGAGTCAGACACTGCAGCTCTGAAGAAACAAGGGCCAACAGAAGAAACACCCAGCAGGAACAAGGCAAAAACACAGCCTGCTGGGTGGCGGCAAGACTGCTGCCCTGGGGACAAGGGCAGCTGGCAGGGGCTGGGCGACCACACAGAGAAGTGGTCACACTCCTTGGGGCACCCCCATTGTCACCCCCAAGGCTTGTTGTCTGCAAGGGAAGGAAAAGGTCAACACACGCTCTTCTCACCCACAGCTTGGGTTCCTTCTGCTGCTCTGGCTGCGTGTCTACTCACCGCTGTATGCTCCACTCTGTGTCCTACACACACACGCACACCGCATATACAGGACAGCATAGTAAACAGCCCGCAGATACTCCATGCGGTAAGTATACGGCATACCCCCTGGGTCATGGGAGAGATTTCTTGGCCACTTGTGCCCCCAAGGGCCCCTCTTGAAAGCAGGCTGTCTTGCCCACCGCCGGCACACAGGCTCCCTACAGGAGGCACACACCGGCCATGAAGGGGAGCCCAGACAGCAGCAGGTGCGCAAGGGCCTCAGCTCGGCTCCCGTCCGTCTCCCCAACCTGCCCCCTCTCCAAACTCCCAGCCTCCTGGTCCGCTGGGGTCCCCTTCTCTCCAGGCACTCAAGCCAACTCTCCCCGCCCTCTGGCTGAGTTGGCCCCACTGGCGCTGTTTGCAGCGACACGGCCTCTGGCCCAGGGTGGGAAGGCCCCCTGGGGCCTTCCCTGAAGAGTCCACCCTTCATGTGGAGGCTGCACTTGCGAATTTCGTGAACTTGCCTCCTCCCCTGACCATCTGCTGGCAGCTGGAGTCCCAGGCAGGTCCTGGCCCTGCCTCTTGACCAGGAT